TGGGTTAAGGGAAAGATGATCTACAATGCGGGGTAACATACAACTGTATACACAATCAGATATTGTGGGTATTGCAATTAATATTATAGAGCAAAAGATGCATGAAAGAGTGAATGAAAATTCAGTGTGCTTTGTAAATGTTTACTCAGATCACAACTCGGGGTGGGGGGAGAAGAAGATCCAGATGCTGGAATTAACTTACAAGGGTTTTTAAACAGTCATCGTAAATTTATTCAGATGAAGGAAATGGAAATTATCAGAACTTAAAAATAATACAATAATACATTAAGAAGACTGACCTGAGATAAAAGAATTGAATCCTAAATCTTGAAAAGGATCAAAAATTTTAATATGAAATAAATAATTACAAAGAATAGCAAAGAAAATACAATGAAATCACAAAAAAATGAACAAAGCCACAAGGATCTAACAATTCTATCACCAGAAAAAAGAAAAAGTGACAAAACAAAAAACATTCAAATACAAGTTTAGGGAAAGACATAAAATTTACCCCCAAACTCTTTGATGCTGAGATAGCCCCAACTCACAGCAACCCTTCCCTGGATCTCCATAAACCTTAGCAAGGGGAGACTGCTCACATCTCCCTCTCAGTGCAGCTGGTAGATCTGAACTGCCAGAGACACACAGCCCTGGGGTAAGCAGTGCAACCCACTACAGACTATATCACCAGAGCTGCCCCAAAATAGTATAAAGACATTCATACCAAAACAAATCAGAATTAAATTTCCAAAAGCTACGTGAAAAAAATTCAGAAAGCCACTACAGACAAGTGATAAATTTTATAGCCAGGAATACCAACTCAAATAAAAGCAGAATTCTCATCTGAACATAAGGAAACCAGAACAAAATGGCACAAAAGTTTATTTCAAGAGCTAAAAGAACTGACGAGTATGAAGTCAATGTTCATGGTAATTATTCTTCCTTTCTGAAGAGATAATAAGGCATTCTCAGATTTTGAAAACAAGAGAATCTGTTGCTAATCCCACCCTCAAAGATGAGAAAAGAATGGTAACAGCAAAAGACGTATAAGATCAGAAAGGAAAGGAAACTGGCCCATCACTATTCCATGAACTTTTTTCCCCAGGAATCCTCTCTGATAGCTGACACACAAAGTATAATATCATGTGATAAAGTATTCAAAGTATATAAATATCACAACACTTGTCTTTAAAAAGAGGGTGTGAATAAAAGGGACAAACCATCCACTGCATGCCAAATGGTCAAAGACTGATATTAGTACACAAGAGACTTCTTAGAACTCTATATTCCGTATCATACATTGGCAGTACCGAGATGCAACCATTCCCAAAAATCAACTCAAAATGTATCACAGAGGGGAGCTCTGGTGGCCTAGTGGCAAGAAGCTACACTGCAATCCCAGAGGCGCATGGTTTGAATCCACCAGATGCTCTGCCGGGAAAGGAAGGACAATCTCCTCCTGTACCAGTCAGATCTGATCTGACGGTACACAGACACACACACACACACACACACACAAAATAATAATTTAAAAAAAAAGTATCACAGACTCAACTGTAAAACACCAAATTCTACAACTTCTAGGAGATAACATAGAATAAAATCTAAACGGCCTTGAGGTAAGCAATGACTTTTTAAAATACTACTTTATTAAGTTTTTTATTAAAGTTCAGACAATTCCTGCACACACTGCCATTAGTGAGATTTAACAGAGTGTCATCATTCCCTCTGTGGTGTTTGTTCTCTTTACAGTACTCTGCTTTCCCTGTCCCCTTACTGACTCATCTTTGTTTCTAAAGAACTGTTGACCCCTGTCTCATACACGGTTTTTAAGACAGGCCCTGGTGGCCTAGTGGTAAGAAGCTGTGCTGCAATAAAGGGGGTTCAAGCCCACCAGCTGCCCTGAGTGAGGATAGGCTATCTCCTCTCTTGTGATTTACTGTCTGAAAATCCACTGGAGGGTCAGCTATGGGTCAGATCTGACTTGGCAACACACAACAGCAACAAGAAAAACTAATCTTACAAGCAGTAGCATCCACTGCATGCCTCTCTGCTCCTTCACAAGGAGGTGATCTCAGGGACAGGCAGGACTCTAGGTTTTAAGAGGATCTCAGGGTGATGTATGCTTTGTTTTCTGGACAATGAACAAGGATGACAGGAGAAAAACTGCTGAACATCCCATGGACTGCCTAAAGAACAAACTGTTATGTCTTGGAGAAAGTGTACCCCGAGTGCTCCTTGGAGACAAGGATGATAAAGGTTCACCTCATATACTTCAGGCATGTTGCTAGGAGGGGCTATTCCTTGGGGAAGTGACATGATGCTCAGAAAGGCAGAGGGTCAGTGAAGGAAAGGAAGACCCTCGACCAGGTGGACAGCACAGGACAGGAAGAGGTTCAGATCTACTATTCATATGGAGCTGAGCTGTACTTGACTTGATGGCACCTAACAACAACAACAACATGATGCCTTCAGGGAGTCCTCTGTTCTCCCCAGTTCCAGGGGGTCTTTCTATTTATTAAAAATTTGAGTTGTGAACCCTTCTCAGCGGCTGCTATGGTGCTTAGCTCCCCGAGGAAGGTGAGGACGTGCTGGGTTAGGCCCTTACATCCACTGGCCAGCCGGCACTGTGCCTGGTAGTCACAGTCCACATCACCGCACACTATCCCACCTCCAAGCTCGCTTGCATCCACTCAGCCCTGATGCTGCACCATGATGAGGGGGACCTTCATAGAGGGGCAGTGCAACGTTCTTATTAAAGCAGCTAGTGCGAATGTTGTAAAGATACTCAACATCACATCTCATTAGTCAATCACCAATTAAAACGAGCTATCTCCATACATTTATTTAAAAGCAAAACTCAGCAGCCAATTCCAATTCACAGTGTCCCCCTCTGCATCACAGCAGACCTGGGTTCCACAGGTCTGCCGTGGCTAATGTTCCGGAAGTGGACAGCCAGGCCCTCCTTGTGAGGCACCTCTGGGGAGACCTGAACCATCAGTCTTTTGGTCAGCAGCCAAACACTGTCAGCCATTCACTCCAGTGAGCATCATATATTCTAACTAAAGAGCTAAAACCTGAAACAACGACAACAGAAGTTAGGCAGGATTCAGAGCAAGAGGAGCTTGCATTGCTTGAAGTGACTGCACTGATGGGAATACAAAGCAAGATGGTCACTTTGGGAAACAGACTGAAGTGTGACCTACAACCTTAAACACAGGCCTCCCACACAACCAGCAATCATGATCTTAAGTACGTTGTTTTTAGACAGAATTCCCTTCTCAAACCCGAAGCAGTTCTCATCTCATCCAAGACCCCAGACCCAATACAGTCTGGGTCCTTGCTTCTAGCACCAGAAGGAACCTGATAAAATGAGGCTGCCTGAGGCCAGTCACTCAATCATGCCCATCGCTGAAATCTCACCTACCAGTCTCGTCTTCTGCTCCCTCATTCCCATCTCGTTTTCTCTCCCTCCACCCTCAACCTTTCCTCTGTGCTTTTTGGGAATAATTCACCTTGTAAACAATCTTCCTCAAATTTTTCATAAAATAATATTCTGTCTCCAATAAAACTTGATGTTTCCCTTTGGTGGAGCTCTGGTGGTGTCGTATGGAGGGAGCTGCACCATTAATTCCAAAGGCTGCGCTCGATTTATGACATCAGAAACCCACTGGAGAGCCAGCTCTGAGTCATCTCCGACTCCGCTGCTGGAGGACATGGGGCACTGTCTCTGTGGTCACCTTCCACATCCCATAGACCTAACAAAAACAGAATTTTCCTGCTTGACTTAAATTTCTTCATATTCTTTTCCATCTTCCTTGAGACAAGCAATGTTTCCTTTTTTTTTTAAACTCAGCTCATACATCCCTTCTACACTATCTTCCCTCCACCAATCACTTTCTGCCATTCTGTTACTTTCATTTATTTTTTAGAGATTTCAAGGTCTAGTTCACAAGCTTTCTCTAGACCCCAAAGCTACACCTGCACTAATCAGAAAATACTTTAACATAGTGAAGCAACTCGATGCTGTAGCCTCAAAATCTCAACCTGCTTACTCCAATAATCTTTATTCAACAGCTGCTTTCTAACTCAGAGTGAATCCCTGGTTTTCACCACCCTCCAAACTGATTCTCACTAGAAATCAAATCTACAAGCACAATCTGACCAAATTACCCATCCTTCTAACTCTCGTGGTAACTCATTTCCATCTTACCTATTCAACTTCATAAATAAGTCCCTGGTCCTTCTTTTTTCTCTAAGACCAAGAGCTCTTCTGGCTTTTACTTACGCAGGCTAATCAACTCAAGCACTCCCTCATTTAATTCCCTTCCACAACCATCCTTAAACCAAAAAGGTAATTCATCTTTTCCATTCCTTAGTTTTCGTAAAGAAAAAACTGCTGATGTGTACAGGCTGACAATATAATAAAATCACTGCCTTCAACCTATGCTGACTTTTCAAACTCTGCAGATCTTCATCCCTCTTCTTCATCAGCTTCATCATTTTCTCGTATATTCACTTTGACATAAATCCCAAGCCTTCATCAAGTCTCAAATCCCTTCTTCTACCTCCACCATCACTCATTTCCTTTAGGAAAGAACATTGTTTGGCATCTCAAGACTCATCTATCTCAATTTTCTAGGCACGAACTTATCTGCATCCATTCCTATCTTTCTAGGCACTAACTTAGTTCAATTTTTCACTTAAGTCACAGAAAAAAGTAAAAACAAATTAAATCCACTATTAGGCACCTTTATATAATTCAGTTTTAATATAGTCATGAGAAACTCAATTAAAAAAACTGACTCATCCAATAAAATAAATCTGGTATTTCAAAACATGTAGAGCTCAAAGTATTAACATTATTTCAGGAATCTCAAATTTTTATTTTTATTTTTTTAAAAACATAAGATTGCTACACTCACCCTCCCACTCACCACAGCCCAACAAGCTAGCCACGTGGAAGACACCTGTTAGCGCCTCTCTACATACCTGCTAACTGTCTCAGGGTCTTGGACACAGCCTCAGGGAAGACTCTCAACATTCTGAGATCTGATGGGTGGAATTCCAGTTCTCTGGTTGACTTATGAGGAGCATATGGGGTCAATGCTGATGAAAAGGACTTATTAAAATCCACACTAGAGTGATCTACCTGTGGGGGGAAAAACACATAAAATAATCCTGCATTAACTTAAAATGCTAAAATATAAACTCCCTTCTTATGAAAATAAATACTGAACAGTTATGACACTTAACATTAGACATGCTACTCTCCTAAATTCATGTACAATCCAGGTCTGGTTTGGTCAAGTCTATGTTGTTGTTTTGTGCCATCAAGTCATCTGAGACTCATAGAAATCCTATGATTCCTATGAGTGCATAACAACTCTGAACCCTGCATTATCCAGAGCCAATCTCACTGTCCCTGACACATTTGTCCCCATTGCCCTGGGCACTGTGTCAATCCACCTTATCCAGGGACTTCCTCTCCTGCACTGTCCCTCCACTCTTCCAAGCATGATGTTCTTCTCCAATGACTACTACCTCCAAGCAACATGTTCAAAGCATGTGAGATAGAACTTCAAAATCCCTGCCTCCAAAGAGCAACTTGACTTCATCTTCTCTAGGACAAACCTGTCTGTTCTCTTCGCAGCCCATGGAACGTTCAATATTCTTATCCAGCACCCCAATTCAAAGTCATCGATTCTTCTTCTGTCTTCCTTATTGAAGTAACTAGGTAGACCATGGCCTGGATCAGCACACCTTAATCTTTAGAGTGACATCGTTGCTCTAATTTAGCACTCTAGAGAGGTCCTAACAGCAGACTTCCCTAATGCAATTTGTCTTTTGATTTCCTGACTGCTGGTGCCAAGAGTATTGATTGTGAAAGCCAAGCAAGCTGAAACTGAAAAATCTCAATTTCTTCACCATCTATCATGGTGCTGCCAATTGGCTCAGTGGTGAGATGCTTGTCTTTTTTATGCTGAGCTTCAATCCACATTGAAGGCTACAGTCCTTAACATTCTGCAGCAACTTAACTTCAAACTTAACTTCGGGTCCTCCTCAGTTTCAACAAGCAAGGTTGTGTCATATGCATAACAGTTTATTGACGAGTTTTCCTCTAATCCTGATGCTACCAAAACCACAAATCATCTAGCATTTCTGAAAAGGTGTCTCTAGAGAAAAGTACATATAAAAGGCCTACAACGTTCAACTCTTCAGACGTTTACTCTTATAGTACAATGATTGCTGATGGACTTCAACTACAATAGTATTCTTGTCAGATTAATTTATTTTTTTTAAGAGAAAAGGTTATACCGTGGAGAGGAAAGAGATAAGGAAATTGAACAGAAACATTTCTAGAAAAATAGTATTACAGAACTGTATCTATGATCAGTCACACACACACACACACACACACACACACAAAATCTGTCTTCAAACTTCTTTAAAACAGGGTATTACAGATAATACATAATAACCAGAACAACAGAGTAGTTAGCAGATTCGAACCACCAACCTTTCAGTTAGCTTTAGAATACTAGCCATTGTGCCACTAGGGTTTCCCTGAAACAAAATCTGTGGGAAAAACATATCAACAGCGGTGTCAGTTAACTTTTATAAACATTCTCCCTCACAGGAGCTGGTAGGCTTGAGACGCCTGTCTTTGTGTCAGCAGCACAATTCCTTGCCACTAGACCTCCCTAGAGGACTCAAATTTTCCATCCTTTCTGATTGCATTGTTGGTTTTCTTCACTGTGTAGTGCAAAACTAACACTGATCAGAGACAGAGTGTGGAAATAAATAAACTATTTCCATTACTCTTCCAGGCTTGTCCAGGCCCCCGGCTCTCACGCAGGAGCAGCATTTGCCCCTTCTGCACCAGTCTCTCTGGTCTCTCAACAACACTTAGAGGTAGTTCTCGGTGTTACACTGGGAGGTAAGGGCTGTCAGAGATCCATGAATGCTTCTAAATGACCTACAATGTATCACGACAGGCCTCACAACAAAGAAGACTTAACACAAAGTTTCCAGGAATCAATTACTCCTCCTAAAGGAGCCTTCTTAAGCGTTAAAGGGGGGTGGGGGGGTTTGAATGTGCAAATACTACTATTTTTTTTCTAAATGTAGGAAGAAAAACCTTTCTATTCCAAACTTGCCTTTAACAAAATTAATTCAAAGCTTCAAATAAAGAGTCACCAGAGTAGAAAATGAAGATGGCAAAAGTGGGAGGTATTTCTTTAGGAAATCCTCACTACAGATTGGAAGGAGGTGGCTGTTGTGAGGTGCGTCCATCACGACTCACAGTGCCCCTGTGAGCAAGAGCCCTATCCTGCGTCATCCTCACCATCTCTGATGAGTCCAAGGCCATGTTCACACCATGTTCAAAATACGTTAACACCACAGAGCAGACTAAGCCTTGCAGTCTACAAAACACATTTCTTTTGTGCCAATCTCGAACAAAGGCCGCATATCCCTGGATAGCATACAACAAAGCACAAGTCGGTGTGTGCCGTTATTGTTGTGTACTAACTATTGAATTGGAACCAACTCAGAGGTGATCCTCCAGGAGGTGTTCAGAGGTTGTACATCCTACACGAGACTGGCCATCCTTCTCCCACAGAGCAGCGGGTAGATTTGAACCACAGGCCGTAAGGATTTCAGCGTGCCTTCTTACTGCTAGGCCACCAGAGCTCACTCAAGTGGCATTTGAGAATATAGATGGCCTTTTCACCTTCATCTCCATTTTCCAACTGAAATTTTCTTTGTCTCAGGCTTTTCAAAGTTACTGTCTTCCCCAGATGGTGGCTGCAAAGTAGGATGTCAGTGCAGAAAACTATTAACAATCTCTAGATTATCAAAATCTTTTTCTACAGCTGCTCGCTCAATGCACTCTTCAGTCAAGTCACAATAACAATACGTCTGGGAATTAGTAAATGGGGGGGCAAAGAGCAGTATCACTTCTTGAAACAGACCTAGAGCAGCTACCGTTTTGAGTGCGTCTCACCTCTCTCAGCAGTTCAGCAACTCTCTCACTGCTCACAACCGCATGTCCATCTACGACACAGTGCTCGGTCGCATCCTCCACAGTGCTGTCAGAGTCTGTGCTCTCCTGGAGATGCTCTACAAAACAGGAGGCATTTTTCACAATTGTGTTGTAAAAAAGAACTTCACTTCCACAGGCTGAGGCCTCACACCTCGGCCGACCCCAGCGCTCAGCATTCTCTCTAGGCTGAGTCCTAACTGGGGGAGCAGCACTGGCCAACGATAAAGCACCTTGTGACTTTTCATCACATCCACCAAATACACTGAATGGCTGCTTCCTACACTTGTGAGGAGACTGGCAATAAAATTCCCAGTGTTTACATCCATCCTTACCTAAAATACAGCTTGATGCGTCTTCTTCTGAGGAGTGCTGCTTTAATCCATGTAAGAGCAGGGACTCAGAAGCTGGCATTTTTGGCACAGCAGGGTGTGAAGGTTCCGTCTTGCTGACAAGGTCATGGTCAGAAATGGACTTTCTCTTCCCAGTAAACTCCTCGCTTACAGTTGCTCCCTGCACGAAAGCTACCTGTGCTCTATCAAGACCACTCAGCTGTTTGTGAGATATTTCACCTGAACAAAGAGGTGGTGCAGGCTCCGGGGGTGCACTGTCACAGAGGGAACTGATGTCCATCTCTCTTCTCTGCAACAGTGGTTTTGGAGAGGTTGCTTCACACACTCCAGGAGTAGACTGGTAACGTGGATGACTAAGGCGGCCGAGCAAAGATTTTCCATCGTTATAATCTGACAGGGTAAGTTCTACATTTTTCAGTTCTCTTTGGCCATCACACACTAAGGATTTACCGGGGTCGGTCTGGACTTTAGTTACTCTACTCTCTTTCTCTTTCTTTGAAGGCTCAATCGAGGCAATAACGGCCTTGAAGGCTACATTCTCAGTAGCATCGACATTTTGCCCGGCAAACGTGGTTGGTTCCTTTTGGCTCCTTGCCTCCCAAACGTACAGCTGTTCAGATGAACTGCCCGGGTGGGACTCTGCATTGGCAGCCTGAAGAACGCCAGCAGGGACGTGCACCTTGGCAGGATCACAGCCCTTGGGGAGCACAGGGGCTTCTGAACCTTGTACAGAAATACCAGGAACTACAACATTCCCGTAAAGCTGTATCTTTAAAGATCTGGGATGCACCCTTGAAGATGCTAATTTATTCCCTGTCCCCTGTTGTTCAGAATGCTGAGGTAATCCTACCCCTAGCCCCACTTCACTTCTTTCTTGACCCTCCACAGGATCCATTTTTTTTTTTACCTCATTCTCAACCGGAATTCTTACGTAAGTACTCTCAAAATAATGACTCTCGGATGCCAGCGGGATCTCTTCACTTCTTCTTTCCAACAAACAGTTCAGGAAAGAATTCAACATCTTGTTATTAAGATGGGAAGCAGCTTCAGATGAGGAGGAGACATGCCCTGTACTGGCCAAGCCTGCGTCCAGGTGATGGGGAGGCCTTTGCTCCCTCCAAGGCTTAAAGGATGCTGCAGGGATGTCAAAGGTGTCATTGCCCTCGGGAATCTCTTTCTCATCAACGGTGTCAGAGGAGTCCGAGAGGGAATCACCATCCTTACAAGATCCTGACGGCTGAGGAGCTTCCTGTTTCCAACACTGCATATACAAACAAGAAGCATCAAAATTATCGCTTCCTTTTGGTACTACATTTTCATCACTTGTATCAGATGAATATGAAAAGGAACCCTGATTGTTACCAGCTATCTCGGTTGGTACCTGCTGTCCAATCTCTTGTGTCTTTAGTGACATATACGAACAAAGAACATCGTAAGTAGTAGAGCCTTGGGGGGGGTTCAGTTCATCATTGTTGTCAAGTTGAGGATGTGAAAGAGAATGCTGAGACGCGATAGTGGAAGCGTCTACGAGTGGGTGCTGGGATACACTGAAGCAGCTGCTCAAGGAAGTCGCCTCCGAGGCTGCCTGGAACAAGGCTTCGCTGACTTCCGACGGCCGAGAAAACCACTCACAGTCTTCAGATCTATCAGGAACACCCCTGGAAATACACAGGCAGAGGAAAACAAGGAACACTAAAAAAAGGGCTCATTCTTAAACACTAACACGAGAAAATATAACACTGAAACATCATCAAAAACCATGTCATTCGAAAATGGGCTGAAAATCAAAGTCCTAGTTTGAAATTCTTTTACAGTGGCTAATAATTTAACACATTTTTCCAGCCTTAAGATGCATTGCCACTATTGCAAGTCAAATATTTTCTCCGATTGATCCTAATTCGTAAAGACAAAGAATCTCACTAGCGTATTGCTAAATAAAGGGTTCTTTCAAATGAGAAATTTAAAACAACCTTGCAAACTTTACTTATACTGAAAAATAGTTATCTACCATGATTTAATCTTCACTTCACTTACATTAATTCTTCTATTATTTATTATTTTTTAAAACTATGCAAGAAAATTTACCTATTCCCAAAATATACTAACTAGGACAGCTAACAAAAAAAGAAAAAAGGTTTACATACAGTCATTCTAGTATAGTTACCAGAGAGAGGAAGTGGAGGGAATAGAGTTAATTAACAGACAATGAACACTTATTAAGATGAGTAAAAACTACAATGTGGAGAAAAGGACGATCATACATTGTGTGTAACTGATGCTATGGAACAAAATGTGCATAAATGATTGAAAAAACAACATACCGTGTAAACTGTCACTAAAATCACAATAAAAACATGTTTAAAAGTAGAACAACAACTTTAATTGATTATCTGATGGACCAAAATACTTCATTAAATTGATAAGAGGATTTGATGAGATATTGATAAATAGCATTAATCAATCATAATTAATGATATAAAATGTATATAAATAAATGAATGACTTTTTAAAAAAAAAGTAAAGTAATATATATAATAAGAAGGGAGAGGGATTAATTTTTCACTTCTAAACATCTGTAGTTTTTCATTTAAGGATTCTGTTTTCTATCCTAAAAAGCAAAAACTTAAATTCTTAGATAATTTTTAAAATGGTTTCAAGAATTTCAGACTTGTCTCGTATTATGCCTATTCTAATGGACACAAATAAGAATTATTCTAAAAACAAACTACAGTCAACTAGGTCATTTCCACACACAAGCTACTGTGCCACATTAAACGCATGTCTCAACTTGGGTCATAACTAACTGCAGGGTGGGTGCTGAGAGAGTCGAGGCCCTACTCCAATATCACACCTTAGCCTACAGTAAGGAAGAGTAGAAAAGTTACATGTACATACAAGTAAAAAAGCAAGCCTTTACCTCAGGGGTGCAAACTCCACTTCACTTTGTTGATATAGGGAATCTGTTCCAAATTCTTGGTCACGTGTTAGGCAAGTCAGCAAAGGCAAATCAGGAGATGCAAAGCTGTCCTGTATCACTGACAAGTTTCAAATACAAAACTGCTTGGTGAAGCAAGAAATTAATTCAGTAACTTATTCATGTGATACTTTAAGTACCTAAATATTCTACAAGCACCAGAATAATAAACAGCAGCTGCAGAAGCAACTATCACTTACTGACCACATACCGATGTCCAAACATTTAGGCTACAATATTCCCTTAATGCTCTTAACCATCTTGTAGATATATACTATACCTATTTCCAGTTGAGAAAACCAGGTTGTTGTTGATAGCAACCCTATGAACAAAAGGCCTGAAGCCCGTCTACAACTACTGACATTTATCAAAGTTCATAGAGTTTCCAGAGGCAAGTTGTTTAGGAAGTGGATGCCATTCCAGTTTCCAAACCGGTCATAGAATGTTATTGGTTGAGTCACCTACAATGCATAGCAACCCTGTGTACAGAAGCTCTGAACCGTTCCCTGTCCTGAGCCAGTCTCAAAATCTGACACACCAACCCCCATTGTCCCAGTTACTGTATCAATCCATCTCATCCGGGGTCACCCTCTCCTGTGTTGTCCATCCACCATTCCGAGCACGATGTCCTTCTCCAAGGACCGATCGCTTCTAGCCACGTGCCCAAAGTAAGTGAGGTGGAGCTTCAAAATCCTAGCCTCCAAGGAGAGACTTGGTTTCACCCTCTCCAAGACAGACCTATTTGTTTTCTTGGTGGTCCATGGTATGTTCAAGACTGTTCAGAAGCACCACAACTCAAAGGTGTCTTCTGTTATCCTTAATCATTGTCCAACTTTCTAAAGCATGACAAGTAATTGAGAAAACCATAGCCTAGATTAGGCACACCTTTGTATTCAGACTGTCATCATTGCTTTTCAGCACTCTGGAGAGGTCCATGACAGCAGATTTTCCCCAGTGTAATTTACCTTTCTTCCCCCCAAATAATTTTTTCCCCAAAACAATTTTCCTTTCAATAGCTATAAAATGTCAGGTGAGATTAAGTCCTATGTGCTGACTTCTAAGAGCTTACCTATTCTGCACCTTTCATTTCATCTTAAGTAACCGTAAAGAAGTCACATCTCTTAGAGCTTGATCCAGGAACCCTTGGGTATGTCTGAGACCCTCAGAAGGGGTGTACAGAGTCAGAAGTATACTCAGGTCCTCTACCTCATTCTCTCTCTCATGAGAGCACAGTGCCAAGTTTTCAGATGTTGCAGGGTGTGTAAAGCAACAGAGCAACAAACCGAAAGCCAGGCAGATATGGGGAACAATTTATCTTCTACTAAGCCAGACAATAGAGACTTTTAGATTTGCTGTCTGAGTTCTGTTTTTTCCCCAAGTAAAATAGTATTTTCTCACTAAGTTTTGGGTTTTTCTAGAAAATTTCTTTTTCCATAAAACTGTTACTTAAATCCAACCTGTGTGAAACTGCTGCCATTTTAAAAATTTCTCATAAGTGTTTTTTTTTAATTCCTTGGCTTCAATTTCTGATACAAGAACTATGAATGTAAGATCTAATTAATCCACATAAACAACAATTCTATGGATTTGTCAGTACGTTCTAAGTGTTTAAAGAGAGTTCGGTGGCCAAAAGTTTGAGAACTGCTGCTCTAAGGAAAAAACAGAAAATCCTATGCATCCTGAATAATGACCAAAATATAATTATGTGTGTGAATTATAGCTATATAAATAGAGAAATATAACTGACATCATTGATGTCCTTGACTATGTACAAGCAGGGTGTAAACTCCTTATTCCTTTTGGTAAGCACTACACTAAGGGTTATGCCACCGGGGCTGAAGTTCCTTAGAGCAATAATAAAGTACAAAACATATTAATATTGCTGTTAGGTGCCCTCGAGCCAAACAGGACTCATAGCAATCATATGAACAACAGACCTGAACCCTGCCCTACTCTGTGCCATTCTTACCATTTCTGACACCCTCGAGCCCAGTGCTGCAATCCATCTCACTGAGGGTCTTCCTCTCCTTTGGGGACCCTCTATATCGCCAAGCATGATGTCCCTTTCCAAGGAATGACCTCTCCTAGCAATATGGCCAAAATATGAGGTACAAAGCGTCATCATCTTTGGCTTCAAGAAGCACTTGGGCTGCACTTTCACCAAGATATACTTGTTCATTCTTTCGGCAGTCCACAGGATACTGGGTGCTTTCCTGTACCACAACTCAAAAGTCATTCATTCTTCTTCTGTCATCCTTATTACTCATTGCCTAGCTCTCTGATACACAGTAGGTGATTGCTGTTGTTATGTGCCATGGAGTCCCTTGTGATTCACAGCAACCCTATGTACAAGAGCCCTAAAGCCCTAAACACCATTCTACCCTGTGCCAACCTCACCGTCTCAAACACACTCAATTCCCACCACTCCACTCACAGACTCGATCGGTCTCATTGAGGGTCTTCCTCTCCTGCGCCGTCCCTCCACTCTGCCAAACATGATGTCCCTCTCCTTGCAACATGCCCAAAGTATGTCAGACAAAGCTTCAGAATCCTGACTCCAAGGAGCACTCTAGCTCCACCCTCTCCAGGACAAACCTGTTTGTTCTCCTAGCAGTCCATGGTATATTCAACAGTAATTTCCAGCACCACAACTCTGGGATTCCCATTCTTCTCAGAGTCAGCAAAAGCTTGTTGTGATCCACACAGTCAAAAGCCTTTGCGTAGTCAATGAAGCACAGATAGACACTCTTCTGGTATTCTCTGCTTTCTGCCAAGATCCATCTAACATTATCTGTAATATTCTAGTACCACGACCTCTTCTAAATCCAGCCTGCACATCTAGCAGTTCTCTGCTGACATATTGTTCCAAACGTTTTTGGATAATTTTCAGCAAAATCTTGCTTGCGTGTGATATCAATGATATTGTTCGATAATTTCCACACTCTGTTGGGTCACCTTATTTTGGAATGGGAATAAATACTGATCTCTTCCAGTCAGCTGGCCAGCTGGCTGTCCTCCAGATTTCCTGGCACAACTTAGTGAGCACATCCAGGGCAGCGTCTGTTTGTTGAAATAAATCAATTGGTATGCTATCAACTCCTGGAGCCTTGTTTTTTGCCAATTCCTTCAGAGCAACTTGAACTTCCTCCTTCATCATTATAGGCTCTTGCTCATATGTTATTTCATGAAATTCTTCTGTGTCAGCCAATTCCTTCTGATACAGTGACTCTGTGTACTCCTTCCATCTTCTTTTGATACTTCCTGGATCATTTAATATTCTACCCAAACTATCTTTAAGTAGCTGATTAAGAAGCCTAATCAGGTGCACCTCACTGCTCTTCAGTATTTTGGAGAGGTCCCTGGCAGGGAGCTTGCCCAATTTAATATGTCTCCTGATTTCCTGACTGTTGGCACCAGGGTGCTGATTTCTGATCCAAGCAAAATGAAATCACTGACAGCTTCAATCTTTTCTCAATCTATCATGATGTTGACTGTTGGTTCTATGGCAAGTACTTCTGTTTTCTTGATGTTGAGATGTAATCCATACCAAAGGCAGGAGTCCTTGATCTTCTGCAGCAAGTGTTTCATATTCTCCTCACTTTCAGAGAGCCAGTTTGTTTCATTTCATAATGCAGGTTGTTGAGTCTTCCTCCAACCATGATGTCACAACCCTCTTCACACAGTCCATCTTCACAAATTATTTGCTCAGCATAAAAGGGAGCTCTGATGGCCTAGGGGCAAGAAGCTGCTCTGCAATCCTGAAGGCACGCAGTTCAAGGCCACCGCCTGCTCTGCGGGAGAAAGATGGGCAATCTCTTCCCATGCGATTAATTGCTTCTGAAAACAAAGACTGAAAGGGTACAACTCTACACCCACCTTTCCTGATTTTAAATCACGCAGTGTTCCCTTACTCCATTCAGGTAACAGCTTCTTGATCTCTCTCTTGATTATAGGTTTCTCATGAGCATAGTGACATGTTCTAGGATTTCCATTCTTCTCAATGTTGACTATGATTTGTTATGATCCACATACTCAAATGCCTTTGCATATTCAATAAAACAGAACACTCATTATTCTGTTTTCAGTCAAGATCCTTCTGACATTCCTGGTGCCACAGCCTCTTCTGAACTTCTGGCAGTTCTCTGTCAATGCACCGTTTCAGTCGTTTTTGGATGATCTTCATCTATCCTCTGCTTGTGTGTGATGTTAATGTTATTGTTTGATAATTTCCACAATGTGTTAGATCACCTTTCTTGGAAATGGGTGCAGTTATGGGTTTCTACTCAGTTAGTTGGTCAGTTGTCCTCCAAACTTCCTGACATAGACTGGTGAGCATATCCAGGGCTTCATCTTTTAGTTGAAACAGGTCAATGGGTATTGTGGCAATTTGTGGGGCTTTATTTTTTTGCCAGTGCCTTCAGCGCAGCTTGAACTTATTCCTTCATTACCACTGAAATTTTTCAGTGTCAACTAAGTCTTTTCGGTACAGTAATTCTATTCCTCCCATCTTCTTTTGACATTTTCTGGATCATTCAAGATTTTGCCCATTGCATCTCAGTTGCCAATTCAAATTTGTTTTTCAGTTCTTTCAGCTTGAAAAATGCCAAATGAGTTCTTTCCCCTTTTTATTCTGACTACAGCTCTTAGCACATTTTGTTATAATATTTTTGCTTTATCTTCTTGAGCTGACCTTTGAAACCTTCTGTTCGGCTGTTTTATTTTGCATTGACTTCTTGACACTCTCATGCAATCTTCAACTCTTCTGACTTCCATTGTGGCTTTTTCTTTCTCTGTTTGTAAAGACGTTTGCTCTTCACGGATGCTATCTTTGAGGTCCTCCCACAGTTCCTCTGGCCTTCGATCACTGGTGTTCAATTCCTGAAACCCTTTCCCAAGGTGATTCTTAAATTCAAATGGGATAAATTCAAGGTTGTGTTTTGGCTCTTGTAGAACAGTTTTCATTTTCTTCCGTTTCAATTTAAACCTGCACATGAGTAACTGATGGTCTCTTCCACAACTGGCATCTCGTCTGGTTTTGACTGCTAACATTGTACTTCTTCA